AGAGTCTTTTGTTTAGCGAGGTATGCAAGCACTTACAGATCCGAAAGACAAGAACCACACCATACCATCCTCAGTCTGATGGTATGGTGGAACGGTTCAATAAGACCTTAGCCACCATGCTGAGTAGTTATGTCAGCGAGAATCATCGAGATTGGGATGAGAGCATACCTTTTGTGATGATGGCATACAGGGCGGCACAGCATGAATCAACCGGATACACGCCAAACATGCTGATGCTTGGTAGAGAAACTGCCACCCCTCTGGACATTATATATGATCGACATGCCCGCAACCTGGAAACAAGTACCGAGTCATGAATGGGTGTGGATTCTGACTGATCGCATGGAAAGGGCTCACAATTTGGTTAGAAAACAGTTAGAAGGAGCTATTCTTAGACAGAAATATTATCATGACATGAAGATGTCCTATGAACAATTCAAAGTTGGAGACCAGGTATATGTCTATTTTCCTCAAAGGAAAACTGGGTGCTCACCCAAGCTAACTTCATACTGGAGAGGACCTTTTAAGGTTCTGGCAAAAGTCTCTGAGGTCCTGTATAAGGTGAATTGTGGACGCAATGGAAAGGATCAGATAATTCATTGCGACAGAATAAAAAGGTGCAGAGCCCAAGTTCTCAGAGGTGAAGATCCAGATCTAGGGCTCGAAACGTCAGAGCTGGGGACAAGTGATTCTTCAGATGTTCAGATAGATCAAGAGGATCAGGTTGATGACTTTTGGTCATCTGACAGAAACATTGAAGTCACGGATCAGTTGGCTGGTGATCGCAGACCCAGACGCGAAAGACGTGCCCAATCTTACCTTCAAGATTATGTCCAGGACTAGGAAAAGACCTTATTTTTCAACAAGTCATGAGAATGACTTAAGTATAGCGAAAATTGTTGAAAGAGAGGATTTTCTTTTTTTAAACATGTAAATATGTGATTACAGCTGTTTCCTGAGAAGCTGATAAGACAGATAGACGTTTAAGATAATCATGATCATTACTTTCATTTTGTGTATAGATATCATGTTTTCTTCATTTAAATATTCATCATCTTGTTACATCATCATTTCATTACTTTCTTTTGTCATGCGAGGACGCATGAGTAATAGAGGCGTGGGTAATGTGACAGATCGGGCTCGGGATGCTAGATGGATTACGTCACCCGGACTTTATCGTAGTGTTCTACGATAGCGGCCGAGGGTAGTCCGGGTGATCCTAACTATATAAAAGAGCGTTCTGCTGAAAGCTGGCAGTTGCCAGTCGGAGCTCAAAGGGAGAAGTTCACTTCAGCGAGGTACGGTGAAGCAGTTAGCAGTAAGGCAGACTTACGGTGACATAGTATACGGTGTCTATAGTATACTGGATTTAAATATATTTAGTATTCGGGGTGTAATAAAGTATAAATACTTTACTCGAGGCTATTATTTTTTAAGAACTGTCTGTGTATAGGACAGAAACCGGCAGACCCGTACCTGTCCGAGTACAGGACACATCCCGGCTGGAGACCCATCCAGGACACAGACCTCTACGCATAATTAGTTGTTGTTGTTTATGCCAAGGATAGGAAATCCTTTTAATATATGTATATATTGACTCGTTCATTTTTCATATGCTTTGTCATCTATCATTTCAAATCATTTGTCTAATTAGTGATCTATCTCTTGTTTACATAATCATTTGTTTAATTTATTTACTTGATTAAGGATCTAAACCTAAATAAACGGACCCATACACGTTACAAATACATGTAAATTTCTCGAAAACTAACATGATGTTAACCGTAGGTATGTGTTAAATGTTCCTGGTAATTCGATTTTTAACGTATATGCATTGCAAAGTATCGATATCTGTGCCTTATGTTAACCGTAGGTATGTGTTAAATGTTCCTGGAAATTCGATTTTTAACGTATATGCATTGCAAAGTATCGATATCTGTGCCTTATCTGACATTTATAAGTTTTAAAAGCAAACACAAAGATATAGTTAAATCTACAAACCGCTTTTAGTAGAGGATGGAACACATCGCAACGTATACTTTCTTATCTTAAGTAAATATGGAGTGATTCATTACTAAAAATGTTATTTCTTTTCTTTATAGCCTTCCAGAATGATCTTTTATATTGTTGTAAGAAGCTAAAGGCTAAAGTTATATAGAAGAAAACATAATCCGTTACATTTCATTACTTGAAGGACAAAAAATTTGACTTTGTAATACTTAAAATATCGTAGACAAATCATTAATTATGTTAGATGTCAACCAGGAAGCAATGAGTGAAATTTAAGAAAAAAGGCTTCTGATACGATTAAAATTACGCTCAAATGTTCTTTTCATTTTCAAAAGCATTTTGACTGTGTGTTTTTAAATAATAATAGTTATAATTTTTAACCTTAATTTATATACTCAACATTTTCATAAAGTACTTGTTAAATTATGGATTAATTATATATGATTCTTCTGTTGCTATATCTTAATTGGTACTCACAAAGAAGATTATGTTGATGACAATAAGAAATCCTTTTCCAAACTTTCCACAGCCTGTAAGTCCCATCTTGGTTGAACGTTTCTTCACTATCTGATAAACTCGAATTTTAATCAGAGATTCAGTAAAGTTATACAATGAACTTCAAATTTGTTTGTACAACCTAAGCAAAATATCCTTTACCTGGGAATATAAGCAAAAATACAACTAGCCAGTAAGATTTTTAAAGTTGCAATACGTAAATTGCGACTAACCTTTAAAAGGGCCTTATCGCCTCTTTTGTTATAATTCACTATGATTGAAAATTTTGTTATCAGTAAGCTTGTATTCAAACAACATTATAGTGACAGCATATTAAACGTCGTAATCTCTGTGTATCCGAGAGGTTTATAATTTCTATCGATTTCAGCAAAAAAGGCAATGTCACCCGAAAAGTGGGGCAGTTTGATTTATCATTCAAAACCCAAGGTTGTGTTTCTCAACTTCTTGTGAAGGACAGTGTAATTAATTTATTATATAGACTTTATTGATATTATAACGAAACAAAGATCAACATTTTTCATACGAAAAGGAATAATCTTTGAATTTTAAAACAAATTGAATTAATTTGCATCATTATCAATCTTATGTTGAAACATATGATGCACATATAACAAACGTTATGATTTAAACTAGAGGTACTAGGAATGAACAAGAGTACATGAATATGTATAAATTTACTTATATTAGAGATTGTTCTATCTGACGTAACCGTATAAGTATACGTATCCGTATCCGTATCAGATATGAGAGGCATTTTAATCCCGACGTCTAAACCATCTTGTTACACTTCCATCGTTTCATGTTTGGGTTTTAACTTCATTCACTAAGAAATGATATGTAGTGTTGTTTTTCTTAAAATAAAAACATATAAGTTCCTGTACACATCTTATGCATCATGTCTTTTTTTCGGGGAAGGGGGGGGGGTAAAAGTTTAAAAATAAAATTAGAAAAACAGGTATGATTTTTTAAAATTTAAATGTATAGAAAATATTTCTAGATCCACCCCTCTCTCTCTCTCTCTATCAATATTAGGGTATTCATTCTTCATTCTTGAAATAACATTTACAAAAACACAACATATTCCCAATAATATATAATTATATATACAGTTAAACCTCTTTATCTCAAACTTGTAAATTGTAAATACATGTAGTTGTACATTAACTGGGAAAGATTTCATTATAGTGCAAAACAAATGTGTATAGGGGATTCATTGAAAATGTTCATCCTCGTTTCCTTTCTCATCATCTTCTATACCATTCATTATCACGTATTTGATGGTCATAGTTCTCCAGAAAAATTTGGTAATTCTGGGGCAGTTTGAATACACTCCCTAAATTGTAGGTCGATAGCCGTATCATGGGCATCGGAAGCAAACAGTATAAAGTAGAAAGGGGAGCTAATTGAAACGCGGGTGCTAAACCAGCAAAAAAGGCAAACCCCAATTCAAAATGCCTATATATTATGTCTATCTTTGCAAGAAAGTGGGGGGAGGGCTAAGCCGCCCCTATCCCCCCCCATCCCGGTTCCGACGCCTATGCGTATCAAGGGTATCAAGGAGCTTGAGAATTGACTATGTACAATATCCTGTAATGTTGCGTATAGACGCTGTATTTGTTAGACTTGATTGATTAAACACTTGTCGATAAAGGGGAGGAAAATAATTGTTAGGTTATGATGTATCTTCCTCTCTAAAATAATTCGTTTTGCATATTAACTTCTTTTCATGAAAATTAAATACTATCGTGTGTGTGGGGGGGGGGGGGGGCAGGGGGCTTATCCACCCCTACTTTATTTGCAAAGATGGACATAATATATATTGAGGCGTAGGATAAGCCCCTACCTCACTCTCAACAGGCATGTTGTCTTGCAGTTAAGGAACCGGGGGGTTAGGGGGGCTTAGCCCCCCCCCCCCCAACTTTTTCATCCAAAGATAGACTTAGTATAGACATTGAACATCGATGCGTAGGTTAAGCCCCCCCCCCTCTTTCCACAGACACGTTTTAGTATGCTTCAATCTGATCCATAGAAAATAATTTCAGTGTAGGAAAGGGCCAAGATCAAACAGAAAATTTTTGACAAGCTTTTGTACATGTACACATGCAAAAAAGACAAAAATGAAAAGGGAAAAGACTATATTTTTATGAGGCACAACTATAAACAAGCTATTCGCTTTGTTTTCCTATTGCAATTAATATATACATGTAATACATATGCAAATAAAATTATTTAGTCGACGCTTCTGTTTGGCCTTGTTTTCAGTTGGAAATTTTATTCTGGCAAGGTATTTATATGATATACCCCATTCCCTTCCACACACACACACACACACACACACATGAAATTCGATCGTGCTCCCCTCTCACACCCCACCCCCCATTTTTTAGTACTATATTACCGAAATTTTGATCTAAACATCGTTTTGATTTTTTTCAAGTTCTGAAAGACAGAAAAAGACTCGCGTAAGTCTCTACATGGAGACGGTGGTGCCGGAATACGATGACATTACATTTAGAAGAATGTTCAGACTAAAAAGATCCTCAGCAGAGGTCATCCTCCAAAAAATTGGAGAAAGACTAACCTACGAGGAACCACTCCGAGGAAGACCTCCACTTTCTCCGGAAAAACAGCTGTTAATAGCATTGTGGTACCTTGGCACCCAATCAACTGTCGTGGTGACAGATGATAGATTTGGCGTTACGGATTTCAGTGTTATCAGAGCACGCCGAAATTTGTAGAGGCCCTTGTTTCTGTCGGACCCAGAGTGATAAAATGGCCGAATAGAGACGAAATTGAAAATATAATTGTAGGTTTTAGAGATATTAAAGGTTTTCCTGATGTTATTGGGGCACTGGACGGAACCAACGTCCACATAACACCTCCCACAAACCACCCGGAACAGTACATTAATCGAAAGGGGTTCCATTCTCTGCAGCTACAGTGGGTTTGTGATTCTAATTTACTATTTATACATGCTTATGTAGGATGGCCAGGGAGTGTCCACGATGCTCGCGTTCTTAAGAATTCGGATCTGTGGAACAGTGGTCCACAACTGTGTGAAGGAAAACATCTTATCGCCGACTCGGCATACCCACTTCAAGAGTGGTTACTTACACCTTTCCGACGTGTTGGAATACTGACAAGGGAACAAACTATAACATTGCTTTGTCAACTACACGGGTACTAATAGAAAGAGCGTTTGGACTTCTTAAAGGACGTTTTAAGCGGTTACAACACATTAGTTTAACGTTTTCGGTCTAGTGCGTACATGTGATATCATAATGTCATGCTGTGTTTTGCACAATCTTTGCATTTGCCAAGAAGATTAATTACCCGAGTACTTTGACAACAATGAGGATCAACAAGAAGTTTTGATCAATGCTATCGGGAACGTTGCTGGAGTGGTCAAGAGAAATCAAATAGCGCATCGCTTAATACATCCTGGAAATAATTAGCTACACTTGTTATAACTGGAAATGGAACCTGTGTACTGCTTTTGATGTGTGAACCTTGAAAGTATATGAATTATGAAAACTTGTAACTAAAATAAAGCAGATTAATAAAACACGAGTTGATCTCTATACTTGTATTTTTTCTTTTTTAAGCAAACAAAAAAATCACAACTTTTCATGTATATGCATGACTGTACAAAATTAAAACGTTAAATCTTTAAAATTTCGTAATAAAAGTAACAAAATAATGAACATACATTTAAACACACAGAAAAGCGAAATTCTAGGTTTATAAGGAAAGATTTACTCAGTCTTTCTTGGGTCCAAAAATTTCCTAAACATCTCTTAACTTCTTTTCCTGTATTTTTCCAATTAAAAGGTTAAATGATTAAAATTTCGTAATAGAAGTAACAAAATAAGTAACATATATTCAAACACACAAAAAAGCGAAATTCTGGGTTTATCAGTAAAGATTTACTCAGTCTTTCTTAGGTCCAAAAATTTCCCTAAACATCTCTAATTTCTTTTCCTGCATTTTCTCCATCTGATCCATGAACAATTTGAATCTTTGATCCTGCCTTTCGGATTCCTCTCTCAAAAACTCCGTAATTTCTGACCTTGGACGCTTCGTTGGCTCTTTAGAACACGTTGGCGGGTCTTCCTTTGACACCGAGTCATCTGATGAGGAAGAGGCTGCACCTCCCGCTGCTGACGTCAGAGTATGCGTGGGTTTAATGTTGGGATTCCCTTTGGTTAAGTCCCCCAGTTCCTTTTCAAAAGGATGGTGTTTTCTTGCTGTTCCTGTCTTTTTATTATTATCAACGACATTCTTGTAACCCCTCATCAGTGTTTTGTATTTCTTCGTTACCTGTGTTTCTGTCAGGGCAGGGTTTTTCTCCTTGTTCAGATTACGGGTAATTTCCTGAAACATTTTCTTTTTGACCTGTTTGGGGTTTTCCTTTTGGTGTGCATGTACCTCATCAATCAATGACTTTGTTATTTCAGGTGTCCATTTAAATGAAGCAGCTTTAGAAAAGAAAAAAACAATTTTTTTTCAAGTGCAACTAAAAATGCATATTTTCAATTAAACCTGAAGAGTTCTTAATTTAGAAATAGATCGTTATTTTTTTTTACCTGTATTGTCATTATCATCAGAGGTCTGACTGGTCAGCTCTGACTCCTCAGCTGTCTGCTGGATTTCCTCTACGGGTTGTACGGGTTCAATAACACCATCGTCATAAACTAGTATGTTCATTACTCCAGGGCTTTTTCTTTGGAATTCTGATATTTTCTCTTTAAAGTCTTCCTCTGCCAGTGGATCTACAAAAACAATGTGACAAAATACAAAATACATGCAGTTATATTTGAAACACACCATATTCAAGTTGAGTCATTCATTGAAATAAAATCAGAAATCTTCAGTAATACCTATTGAAATCAACACTGCTTTAAGTATGTAAACCTATAGGGTTTAGCAGAGACATATTGTGTGAACATTTTAAACTTAGACAATATTAATAACATAATCATTTTTAGTTTTTAGCAGTTAAAATGAAATGAGATAAAGGTTTATTAAATCAGAATGTATATTATTAGTGACGCAAATTCGGTGACTTTATAATTGGAAAGAGGACTCTATTTTGTAAACAATTATTATCTTGTCAAAACAAATTGGATTATGGTGTTGTCCAAATACACTATAATTTGTTAG